GAGGGCTCCCCCAGGGGCCTGATGGGAACTTCCACTGCAGAATGTGTAAAATAAGAGGCTTGGAATTGATGAGTGTTTGCCAATTTAAAATCTGGGGAAGTATGATACCAGGAAAATAATTTTTAAACAGTAATTTTTTTAGACTTTGACAATTTATTAAAAGGAAGTGGAAAACTTTTCATCTCAATAATATTCATGCAGTGATATACTGACCTTTGTGCCTATTATTATATTACATTTTAGACAATGTCTCTCTGACTCATCTTTTATTTCCTTTTCTAACCTCCACCTTCTTCATTCCCCATAAAATGTTAGAACTTTCCTCCTGTAAACCTATAGTCCTTTATCTATCTGAAAAAAGAAGAAGTGCAGAAATCATATGTATCCAGCTCAATAAATTATCAAAACATGAACACACTCATGTAACCACCAAAGGATTTTACCTTTTGTTTATCTTGGAGGCGGTTTTCTTTCATTCTTTTTACAGATTTTTTGAAAAACTCAGTCACACTTCTTGGAAACAGAGTAATATTAAATGCTTCAAAAACTGGGCCAAGGAATGGGAAGAGTGCTGTAAGAAAAAGGGAAGCACAATGAAAATATAAAATGTACCGGGAGCAATTATAATTTTCTCTACCAATGAGGAGAGTAAAAGATACCAGGCTTCTCAACCAGGAGCCAGTCCTTCTATGCCCTTTGCTCAGACTTCCAACCCCATGGCTGCACAAGGGCAAGTTCACACAAACAGGCCATCATTATAGCAGTGAGATCAGTGGCCCCTTCCCCATCTTTTGGGTGACTAAAGAAACAGGATTACATCCTTGAACAGATTTGCCTTTATCTATTAACTAGACTTTCTTTGAATAAACCAGAGCAGAGTCTGATACTTTAAGTAATTGCACTGTTCAAGAAATAGTAGTCAGATGCACATGCACGGACACAGTAGAACACTAGACACTAAAATGTAAACAATGATTGCATGTGAGAGTTTAATTATAGGTGGGTCTTGTTTCTTCTTTGTCTTTTAAAATAATTCTGAAAATTTTCAATTCTGAAAGAACTGTGTACTGTATTATTGGAGAAAAAGGAACCCTCGTGCACTGGAGTGGGAATGCAGACTGGTGCAGCCACTGTGGAAAACAGTATGGAGTTTCCTCAAAAAGTTAAAAATGGAACTCCCATTTGACCCAGTAATCCCACTTCTGGGAATATATCCCAAGAAACCAGAAATACCAATCAGAAAGGACATATGCATCCCTATATTCATAGCAGCACAATTTACCATAGGTAAGATTTGGAAACAGCCTAAGTCCCCATCAGCAGATGAGTGGCTTAAAAAACTGTGGTACATCTACACAATGGAATACTACACTGCTATAAAAAAGAAGAAACTTTTACCATTTGCAACAGCATGGATGGAACTGGAGAGCATTATGCTAAGCAAAATAAGCCAGTCAGAGAAAGATAAATATCACATGATCTCACTCATATGTGGGATATAATGATCAACATAAACTGATGAACAAAAATAGTTCCAGAGACAAATGGCAGGGGAGAGGCGGGGGGTTAGAGACCAACTAAAGGACTTGTATGCATTCATATTAGCATAACCAATGGACACAGACACTGAGGCAATGTGGGCTTGCCCTCGAGGGTGGGAGTGGCAGGGGCAGGGTCAATAAGGGGAAAAAGGAGACATATGTAATACTTTAAACAATTAAAAAAAAGAACTGTGCATTGTATAATAATATTTATCAAGATATATATTGTAGAAGAATTCATAGACAGGATAGAAATAATACAGAGTATGTCTTTCAACCATAATGGAATGAAATTAGAAATCAATAATAAAGAAAAATGGGAAACTCACTACTATGTGGAAATTAAAAAATACTCTCCTAAATAACCCATGGGTCCTACAAGAAATCAGAAGGGCAATTAGGAAATACTTTGATATAAATAAAATGAAGAGAAAGCATACCAAAATTTATGGATGTAGCAAAAGCAGCACTCAGAGGGAAATGACTATAAATGTCTACATTAAAAAGAACAAAGAGCCCTAGCTGGTTTAGCTCAATGGATAGAGTGTCGGCCTGCGGATTGGGGGGGCCTGGGTTCGATTCCGGCCAAGGACACATGCATGGGTTGCGGGCTCGATCCCCAGTGGGGGGCATGCAGGAGACAGCCAATCAAAGATTCTCTCTCATCATTGATGTTTCTCCCCCTCTCCTTTCCTCTCTAAAATCAATAAAATATATTTTTAAAAAAAGAACAAAGGTCTCAAATCAATAGCCAAACTTTCCCCCCTTAACACACTGAGAAGAAAGAGCAAACAAAACTAAAAGAAAGAAGGAGGAAACATATAATACATATGAGGGAAGAAATTAATAAAATAATGAATAAAAACAACAGAGAAGATCAATGAAATCAAGACAATAATTTTAAGACATTTAAATAAATTAACCAAGACAAAAGAAGATTTAAACTACTAGCATCAGAAATGAAAAATGGGAGATTACTACTGACATTAAAAAAATAAAAACCTTTAAAGTAGTATTATGAACAACTGTATGCCAATAAACTAGATAACTTACATGAAATGGGCAATTTTCTAGAAAAACACAACTATAGAAACTGACTCAAAAATAAACAATCTGAATAAACCTATAACAAGAAAGAGATCAAATTATTAATCAAGAGACTACCCACATGCCCAGCATGACTCAGTGGTTGAACCAAGAGGTCACGGTTCAATCCCTGGTCAAGGCACATGCCCAGGTTGCAGGCTCAATCCCCAGTGGGGGGTGTACAGTAGGCAGCCGATCAATGATTCTCTCTCATCATTGATGTTTCTATATCGCTCTCCCTCTCCCTTCTTCTCTGAAATCAATAAAAATATTTTTTAAAGAGACTACCAACAAAGAAAAGCTCAGGTCCAGATGACTTCAGTGATGAATACTACCAAATATTTAAAGAACACCAACTTTTCACAAACTAGAAAAGGAGGGAACACTTCCAAACTTATTGCACAAGGCCAGTATTACCCGGATACTAAAACCAAAGGTATCACAGGGAAAGAAAGCTACAGACCAATATATCTTATGAACATGGATGCACTAATCCTTAACAAAATACTAGCCAAACTCAATTCTTTAGTACATAAAAGGAATTATATACCATAAATTCTGGGGGTTAGCCCAGAAATGTGAGGTTTTGTAATAAAACTATACCAATAGAATAAAAAACACAAACCATATGATCATCTCAATAGATGCAACAAAAGCATTTGACAAAATGCAACACCTTTTTTGTGATAGAAACACTCAACACCTTAAGAATAGAGGATAGAGGGGAATTTCCTCACCCATTAAAGCAGCGGTTCTCAACCTGTGAGTCGCGGCCCCTTTGGCAGTCGAACGACCCTTTCACAGGGGTCGCCTAAGACCATCCTGCATATCAAATATTTACATTACAATTCATAACAGTAGCAACATTAAAGTTTTGAAGTAGCAACGAAAATAATTTTATGGTTGGGTCACAACATGAGGAACTGTATTCAAAGGGCCAGAAGGTTGAGAACCACTGTGTTAAAGGAAATCTATGAAAAATCCATAGCTAACACCGTACTTAATAGTGAAAGCCTAGAGAAATGTCTATTCAGGTTAAGGCCAACTGAATTTTGAGAAGTGTTCTAAGTTTATTAATTTGAGAAAAATAGGTTTTTAAAAATAGTTCTGGGACAACTGGGTAGGCATATGCAAAAAAAATGAAGTTGGACTCATACATTATCCTATCTAATAAAGAGGTAATATGCAAATTGACCATCACTCCAACACATAAGATGGCTGCCCCCATGTGGCCACAAGATGGCCAGCAGGGGAAGGTAGTTGTGGGCAATCAGGCTGGCAGGGGAGGGCAGTTGGGAGGGACCAGGCCTGAAAGCAAGGGCAGTTAGGGGGGAAACAGCCCTGCAGGGGAAGGCAGTTGGGGGAACCGGGCCTGCAGGGGAAGGCAGTTGGGGGCAACCAGGCCAGCAGGGGAAAGCGGTTAGGGGTGACCAGGCCAGCAGGGGAGGGCTGTTAGGGGCAACCAGGCCTGCAGGGAAGGGCAGTTGGGGGTGACCAGGCCTGCAGGGGAGGACAATTATGGGCAATTGGGCCAGCAGGGGAGAGCAGTTAGGCATCAATCAGGCTGGCAGGGGAGTAGTTAGGGGGTGATCAGGCTGGGAGGCAGGCGAGCAGTTGGGAGCCAACAATCCTGGATTGTGAGAGGGATATGTGGTGGGATCGGGCCTAAACAGGCAATCGCACATCCCTTGAGGGGACCCAGATTGGAGAGGGTGCAGGCTGGGCTGAGGGACACACACACCCCATGCATGAATTTCGTGCACCAGACCTCTAGTACCATATATTAAAACAAAATAAAAATGGATCAAAAAACTAAACATAAAAGTTAAAACTTTATACTCTTAAAAGAAAATTAAGGGGTAACTATTTGTGACATTTTTGGCAATGGATCTTAGACATGACACCAAAAGCAGACAATAAAAGATAAAAGACATAAATTATAGATCATCAAAATAAAAATTTTATGCTTCAAAGGACTCTATCAATAAAAAGGAAAAGACCCCTACAGAATGGGAGAAAAATTCTCAATTCATATATCTGATAAGGAATTTTTACCTAGAATATATAAAGAATTCTTACAACTCAACAAGAAAAACATCTCAAATGTAAATGGGCAAAGGGTTTGAATAAAAATTTATCTAAAGAAGATACCACCCTAGCTGGTTTGGCTCAGTGGATAGAGTGTTGGGCTGCAGACTGAGGGTCCTGGGTTCTATTCCAGTCAAGGGCACATGTCCAGGTTGCAGGTTCAATCTCCAGTAGGGGGCATGCAGGAGGCGACTGATCAATGATTCTCTCTCATCATTGATGTTTCTATCTCTCCCTCTCCCTTCCTCTCTGAAATCAATTTTTTAAAAAGATACAAAGATGCAACAAAAATATCAAAAGTTGCTCAACATCATTAGTCATTAGAGTTCATTGATAATGTAAACAGGGGTTAATTATAGGGTTTAGCAATTCCACCCCTGTGTAGAAGTAAAACCAAAAGAAACACCAAAAAATTGAATCAGGTAATCACACAAACAATTATTCACAATAGCCAAAAGGTAGAAACAACCCAAATGTCCATCAACTGATGAATGAATAAACATAATTGCAATGTCCATACAATGGAATGTTTTTGAGCCACAATAAAATAAAAAGTGCTGATATATGCTACCATATGATGAACCTTAAAAACATTATACTAAATTTTAAAAAGCCAACCACAAAAGCCCACATATGTGATTCTATTTATATGAAGTGTCCAGCATAGGCAAATCTATAGAGACAGAAATAGATGAGAGGTTGCTTTTGGCTAAGGGGAGTGGAATGTTAAAGTCAAAAATACCATAGCTCAGCCAGAATTAGTGGAGTGGGGTCCTGTGCACCAAAAAGGTTGCTGGTTCAATTCCCAGTCAGGGCACATGCCTGGGTCGCAAGTTCAATCCTGGGGGTGGGCACA